CAGTAATGAGTGAGTGGGTGAGTGAGTTTAGGTTTACGCCGCTTTCAGGAATATTCCAGCTGGGGACACCAGAAATGGGCTTCACGCATTGTACCCATGTGGGGAATCGAATCCGGGTCTTCGGCGTGACGAGCCAACGCTTTAACCACTAGGTTAACGCTTTACCTTGAACGTCGTTTCTTTTCTAAATCGAACCTTTAGTGGTGATTTGATGATGTGTGAAAATATACAACGTCAGGTCAAAAGACGAACCGGTCTTAATTATCCTCAGAAACAAATTCCGTTATTCTCAGAATCGCCAGCACACAAAGTTAGCCGCCTAGCCTGCTCAGCCACCGCGACTTCCACAAAAATCGAATAACTGGTAGTCTAGACTGCGGACTTTGTGCACCCCCTCTGATAAGTGTAAATTGGCACGGCTCCCACGGCCGAAAGCTATGATTACACAATACCATGTAGAAAGTGATCAAATGTAACACTTTGTGTGCTGGCGATTAGGGACCTGACTTTGAGTGAGTTCGAATCCCGGATGGGACTATACCCAACATAAGTACTAGAATCTGTACTTTACTAATAATGTCCAATCCTAAACATCACATATGTAACATCTGACCACTTTCTAAATGGAATAATGTAATTAAATTCCGTTTGGTGGAAAGGGAAAAAATAACTTGGAAAAATGGCTGTGATTTTTTATGAATGGATCACTGATATTATGATACCAGGTGTTCGCGTCACAGTCTGACGACAACAAGTATTCTACCATGGCATCAGTAAACACTGGATTGTGATTGGTTAATTATAGTCATTCAGTGGTATATAATCACGTTATATACCTCTGATTTTCTAACAAAGTATGTAATTTAAAAAGAAAATCTTATAACGCGGTTATAGTTGTTGGCAATCTATAGTATGTTTTTTATATTGTATTGTCATCTATAGTTAGATTTCATTACTAGTTTTAAATTCATATCTGTGATAATCTAGTTATTTTACTGTCCTTCGTTGACAGGTTTTTATAATTTACCATAAATTACTATGAATAACAATTAATTGTTCTCGTCACGATATGGCTGAAATATTGCCGATGTGACGATAAATTGTAACTCTGACTGTAAATCAGAGTATATAAACAAATTATGATAGCTCTTAATGAACCCTGCTTTGGGAAGACATTTCGCATAGGAAGATGTAGTCCGTTTATATGTAGTTGTAGTTATTTCTATGAACTCATACATTTGTGTTGAATACTTTGTACATCCCAATACATAAGCATGACAGTGATCTTCCACTAAATCACACAGCTATCTGTCTACACAGAACGTGAATAATACAAACTGAATAACTTTTGCCCACTATCAGCAATGGGAATGATAAACCTGGTTACCAACCCCAGACCTTACTATTAATCTTTAGCGTGTTGAAACTATCGTGAGATATGCAATTCATTGGAAATGGAAGCAAAGAGCAGCGATCAATTTGTTGATTCGCTGTCGTCATAAAACGCTCATGGATAAGTAGAAAAGAGACGCCAAGCTGCTGAAAGCATTGAGAAAGTTTTCCGAAAGAATTCACAAAGAACATTTGCCTTCCGACACCTGTCTTTGCTTTCGTTATTTCACATTAAACTTCGGCAATAGCATGCAGTTGAGTAATTGAACCGATGTATCATTTCAGAGACCGTCGACGGGCATCTCTTGCTGTAAGTGTAGAATATAATTTGAATGCTATAAATCTTGTATTAATACTTCCCTAGGGTCCATGAAGGTCTTGGGTATGGGAAATGCGTATACGAGTACAATGCAAGATACATTAGGCTATAAAAGCGTTAGTCGCTGTTGTCTAGTGGCTATATCATGTGCCTGGAGAGCTGAAGGTTCTATCACGGCCCAGTCATACAAAAGGACGTTAAAAATTCACACGTTACCCTTAACTCAGACTGTTCCACATCAGCATACAATGTACAGTTAACAGTAACCGCTTATGAACCACCATCATTTCTGTATTTCCACCAAGAATCGATACTGCATATATACATGTGTTGTGCCAAGAAAATGTGAAGTGAAATAGTTTTCCAATATTTACTGAGTTGCTTACCATATTTGTGGGTGTTTTACCTCCTCAAGATGCTAGTCCTGGCTAGAGGACTCTTAATACAGCTCCGTATAATCATAGGTATGTCGTGGAGGCAAAGAATACGAACGTTACATTTAGCATGTTAGAACTTTATGGCGTTTTGTCAATTTATTTAATTCCTATAACTGTCTGGTCTGGTAGGAAGGAGCTGTTCAAATTTATTTGATTTCATTACGTACAATCTACCAAATGTATTTAGTTTCGACAAGAAGGGACGTATGGATTTATTGATGCCATCCTTTAGGAAAGCGTCGTTTTGTCCATGTGAAGTAGCGAACATGTAGTAATGGGAATCGGTAGAGTATTGAGTGAACCAGGGAGTTCAGGAGTGAGCCCCGTGGATTACTCAACAAGCAGGGATTTCTTATTACGAAGAACTTACATACATACACATAAATGAAGGAATATAAACGGAAGAGGACAATTTGTCACACATACAGGGATCATCAGCTACCTATTTAAAATGTATGTTAGCTGTCTGAGATTAATTCAACGTAATTGAGATTATTTTAACAGCTGACAGTAAACAGATGGCTTCGTCAGATAACTATTGATTTGATGTAGACAGCAACAATACTAGCTACCGGCAACTTTGTCTATATTACCTCATATAACTGCGTTTCAATGTCTAAGACGAACTTTGCCTTTTAAGAACGAAATAAATCTGGTTCATAATCCGACTGAGTCTAGACAGATTTGTTAGCCTTTTCAGGACTTTTACAGTTGGGTCATTGCAGTAGCGGCGTATTTCCTGTCTTCGGTTGTGCTTGAGAGGACATTCTTTCATCACATGTGTACACTGTAGATTTAACAATTACCTGTCCTGAAGGCGACACGTTTTTGTTCAGTATTGGGTGTATAAATATAAGCAAACATCGAGAAAACGCGAAAGAATTCAAAATTCATACAAATTTCATTATGGAACCCTAACGCCCCCTTCAGTTTGCAATATATTTCGGACAAATATTTCGATCAAATTCAAAATGGCCTGGCGGGGCCGTGCGCGAAATACGCATTATGTCGGAAAGCACACGTTAAATATCGCAATCATCATCATCATCAGAAAACGCGTCAGTGCTGTTTGAGCATTTGTAAAAGAGATGACATGTGATGCAATTCCCTATTTTGACTGATACTACCTGTTCCCTGTTTTTAGGTGAACAATTAAGTATCCTTTGTTTGTGACTGTGACACTGACGGCGAAGGATACACTCTGCTTTTTATCACTGGTATCTGAACGAAATGGCTGTAATTCATAAAGACATGCTCACGATGTCGTTGGTAAAAAGGACGTACTCCACTTTGGACAGACAGTTGTCAATCGTATGGGAAAGATTTGGTCGCTTTTATTTATCTGTAGGTGTTTCTGTGAAGTCGTGTATTTCTAAAAATAATTTGTACATTCCAATACGCAAGCATGAAATGATTGTTGAGTAAATCACACTGCTATCTAAAAGTGAATACTACAATTTTAATACCTTTTGGTCTTTATAAGAAATAAGAATGATTATCTCATGGTTATCAACCCCAGACCTTAATGCTAATCTTTAGTGTGTGGACACTATTGTGAGATATGCAGTTCACGGGAAATGGAAGCAAAGAGGAGCCATCCAATTGTTGATTCGCTGTCGACATAAAACGCAGATGGATGAGAAAAACGGGAAAGAGACGCCAAGCTGCTGTGCGCATTCAGAAGCTTTCCGAATGAATTCACAAAGATCATATTCTTTTGGACGTTAGTATCTGTCTTTGCTTTCGTTGATTCACAGTAGTATTCCATTGTGTAATTGAACCGATATGTTATCTTAGACAACGTCGACGGGCATCTCTTACTGTTAATGCGACTGAGTATTGCTTAACTCCGTTAATGTAGAACTTAATTTGAATAGTGATTGCTGAATATCTTTCTTTTAATACTTGCCTTGGATCTGCGAAGTTCTATTTTGTGGGAAATGCAAGTACAGTACATGGACAACCATCAAGTGGTTCTTTGACAATTGTTAGGATTTTGATTGTTGTGATATGGAACTGACGTTGGCGATGTTTGGAATATTTATTTATATATAATTCGCTATTGTTTAGACAATTAAATGCTGTTTTCAAGTGTATTCTTTCTTTTATTCGGCAGTGTATGTCATTATACGATGAATGTGTTTTGCACTTACAGGTGCTATGCCGGCATTGTCACAGAAGCAGACACCTCCCGTGATCAAAATGGGATGTTTGTCATGACCCCTTTACCCTGTAGGTTACCAGAGACATGGACGTCTTTGGACAAAATGTTGAGTGAGTGAGTTACGATTTTCAGTCACACCAGCAGTATTTCAGCCATATCGTGACTAAAACAAGTTAGACTTTCATAATACATAAAGTTAAATTATAAAAACCTGCCAAGGGGGACAGTAAAAACAACTAAATTATCACAAATATGGTTGTAAAACAAGAACAGTCAAATCCCGATGAGTCGAATCGCTGGGGACCAAGTAAAAGATTCGGCTTATCGATGTTTTCGAGACATAGGTATGTCTATGAGGGTAGAAAAAAAGATGATTGAATATTGAACGATTCCTTTATTCAGCACATCATATCTAAATATAGCACAACAATACATTAGGTGACATAGATAATGGATAATAATGGATAATGGAAACAAACAGTATACAAATGAGAACAAATTTCAATACTAGCAAAATAAAATACAAAATACATTTACTTCTTAAAATCCATGAACAAAATCTATCGGAAATCGATAGGTATACGTACATGTACATGCCGCCATCTTGAATCTTATTAATACAAAAACATGAACTCACTTCTGGAAAAAGTCTGACATTAATGTTTGTTTCTGTGAATTTCCCTTACATTTATCCAGACGAGTCGTCGTTGTGACAGGTCCTGGGACCAAGCAATGACTCGAGGATGTCGACATCAGATGAAGGGGCACATGTTTCAATGTTGTCATCGACACTTACATAGTCGGCCAAAGTCACATCACCTGGAAGTACACAGACATGTAATCTGGCTAGGGGGATGTCATCTTCATCGTCAGATTCACATGGGGCGTTGGGAGATGCGGCTTCTGTCAGAACGAATCCAGCGTGGCGGTAGCAGTTGGAGATTGTTACTGTCTTTACTTTCTGCCAAGCATGTCGTAACATACGCATGGCATCAAGCACTGTGATTACGCATTCCTTACTGTTGTTGATGGCTGCTATGTAACGGTCAAGAGCTGCATTCCTGTAGTGGACCTTCGGAGTATTGATGACACCTTGGTCCATTGGCTGCGTTTTAGAAGTTGTGTTTGGTGGAAGGAACACAAGAGTAATGTTTGTGAGACCTTTGATTTTCGGGTGAGCAGGGCAGTTGTCTAAAATGAGAGCAATCTTCTTCTTCCGCCTAATCATTTGTTTATCTAATGATTTTACCCAATCACAAAATAAACCAGACGTCATCCAGGCAGACTTGTTGTGACAATATGAAGTCGGCAGAGATTTGACGTTCTTAAAACAACGCGGCTTAGCAGATTTCCCTATCACCAATAGGGGCACCTTATCAGTTCCAGTCTGATTAGCACAGACAAGGACAGTTAGGCGTTCCTTTGATTGTTATCAGTATTGATCCCTGCATCTGTTAAGAGGTATCAATGTCTCAGCCGTAACATATTTACATTTCTTCGTAATTGACACAGCTAGGTCGTATTTTTGACAAATTGACAAATTGTATTGTCTTCAATGGTTAGAAAGTTTTAGTTTTAAATACATGTATTTAGTTTTAGTATTTAGTTTACATGTATTTAAAACTAAAACTTTCTAACCATTGAAGACATTGAGTGTATTTAAAACTAAAACTTTCTAACCATTGAAGACAATACAATGTGTCAAAATTTTCAAACAATTCGATTTCTTTTTTTCAAAAACAATTATTAAATGACTACTCTGGACGAAGACCTGTATTCCTAAATACTAGCGATGCAAAATTCGTAAGTGAAAATAAACGTCACTTTGGTACATGACGAGTCAACATCCCTTAAAGGGCAAAAAATTAATAAGAAATCCTAAAAGAAGTTAAATAGTCACTATCAAAAGTTATATATGATTTTAATTTCAGTGACATAAATCACGTTTACAATCGCTACCATCTAAGTCATTTTCACCTATTTTAATGTAAAAACAGGATAAGTTATACAAATGAAGACTGGTGGGTTTCCATTGATTTATAAAATGACAAAAAATATCAGGTACATGTATTTGCCAAGGGACAAGATCCTCCGATAAATGTCAGTGTAAAAAAGTGTTTACATGTCAGGTTTTTATCAATGACATGGATGATTATTATGGATTATCACCTATCATAGGAGGGTCTATCAAAATGTTATTACCCTTGGTGGTGAGGGGGGAATTTGTACTTGTAATAGATTTCAAAGAAGTAAAGGGGATTATTCCTGAATCAACTGTAGATCCACCACCAATAATTACTGAAATCATAAATGTATGTCTAAATCGTGTTTGTTTCAATGAAAATGTGCTATGTTTGACAACTGCGAATGTGGTGAACAGTTTTTACGATCTTTTCTGATCATTGATCAATAACGTGCGTATTATATTACAATTGTTTTAACGGCAGTGTTAACTTTGTTAAAGCCGCACTGAGAAATATTCCACTTGTATCACGGTGGTCTGTAAATAATCGAGTCTCTACCACGCAATCCAGTGATTGACATCATACATCAATCTGAGAAATGAGGATGCAACACATGTATATGTATCTCTAAACCCTACCACCCGTTTCCGTTAGTCGCCGCTTTTGTCGAGCATGGCCTGTGGAAGACCAGTTCTAACCCGGATACAGAATAATTCAAATTGGCTTGTCCCTCTCTGTCTAGAGACAGATGTCTTTGAAAATCTAGAACCTTATTGGAATTGAAACCGAACACAAAACCACTAAGGAAAATTTTTTTCAAATATACTCTAAACTGCTCAGAGTACAAAAACTTCTTAAGATAGCCGCGAACAGCTGCAAAATTGCTAATGCAGTTTAAAGCAATCTTTTCTCACTCACTCAGATCTGGATTAGAGTTGGTCTTCATAAACCCATGCTTGTCGTAAGACTCGATTATTTACAGACCGCCGTCATATAGCTGGAAGATTGCTGAGTGCGGCGTTACACAATAAACAGAAAAAAGAACTTCTTGCAGAGACTTCCTTTTAAGCAGCATGCCCATGGGAAAGCCCACTAGAAATATCAATGTCATGTCAGATTAGCAGAAATTACACGTTAGCCCCATTCTTTTTCGTATTTGCACGCACAATCAATGCTGCATATGAGAGTCACGTATATGATTTCGATCAAATGTGAAGTGAAATGTTTCCCCATGTTTACAGTATTGATCCCTGCATCTGTTAAGAGGTATTTTTACTGCTTCAATATCAATGTCTCAGCCATAACATATTTACATTTCTTCGTAATTGTCACAGCTAGGTCGTAAAGTCAAATAAAACAGCCATTGCATTTAGTCTGATATACTTATGGCTTTTTTGTTAATTGCATTTGTTTTCTATTAATGTCATGTCTGGGTAGGGAAGAAGCTGTTCAAATGTGTCCTATTTCATTTAATAGAATTTGCCACATGGATTCAGTTTCGGCAAGCTGGTGCTCTTAGATTCATGAAGATATACTTTATTGTACACAGCGTGAATTGACTTTGAAAAGTAGCAAACAACATGATGGTGCAGTATAGAGTTTCTTGGTCTCTGTGGAAGGGTAAATAGATGTCATATTGAAGCACGTCCTCGATGTAAACAACTTGGTGGAAATCCGCCAGCAAACTGGTGGTTCTAACAATGCACCAACAAACTGTTTGTCTGTTTCCTGGTGAGGCTGATAAGCAATATCCATCAACAGCTGATAGTTCTTAAAAAGCATGTCATTGAGTGAACCGAAATCAACAAATGAAAACTTGATTAAACACCTGTCAACGAAGGACAGTAAAATCAACTAGAATATCACAGTATCAAGAATTAAAACTAGCATATGTCTCTAACATTGGATTTCAAATTAGGACAATACAGTATAAAATGGGCTAGAGATCGCCAACAACTGAAGTTAGATCACCGTACTAGTGACCAAGGGGACTAACAGTACCTTTGCTATCTGCATGGACCCTAGTTGGATTTACACCATCCCATCAGCCGCTGGCGATAGTAGGAACATTTACCCAGAATTTGAAATACCAAATATACTACGATTATAAAGCATGGTTGAGCTAAATTGACTTTAAAAGTTTTGGGACTTACGTACCCTCTCAGAAGGACAATAAATTTACGATATTTAACCCCTTTGAGGATACAGCCACTAACAATCGCAGTTGCCAATTTATACTACCGTGTTTAAAAAACCATTTATTTATTTACAAAGCATATTATTCAAAATTTATTTATTTCCTTTATACATTCAATTATTACATGATAATTAACAGTGTAAAATACAGTCAAAGGTAGGACATGCTTGACCGTGATTCCTCCATCACAACGGATACAAAACAGGGATCTTAACCTTTTAAAAGGTACTCTTGATCCTACACTGTTTTGACATGGAAATATTTATCCAAACAAGCAGATTGTGATGGAAATAATCAATACAGTCAAGTAGGACATGCTTGACCGTGATTCCTCCATCACAACGGATACAAAACAGGGGATCTTAACCTTTTAAAAGGTACTCTTGAGTATATCTAGTATGGCCAATACGACATCGTTGCATAATGACCTCTTCAAATTTGGACTGACAACCCAAGTAGGTGTAACCAATATATGATTTTATTTCATGTAATTTATTAATACCTACTTGAATGTCCCACTTCTTTTGCATTAGATCACGGATATAAGATCTAATAACAGCTTTACAATCAGTATATGGAATAAGAAGTGGTGTCACAGATTTGTTGAGGGCTGCATCAGCAGCAAAATCAGCCATTGTGTTGCCAGTAATACAAACATGGCTGGGTAACCAAAAGAAAACAATGTCGTATTGACCAGTAGTGAGATCATTAAATAGATCAATCATCTCAATTAAAAGTGAATGTTTGCACGAAAGATTTTTAATCGACTGAAGGCACGAAAGAGTGTCCGAAAAGATTATATACTCTTTATATTTAGGATGTTTTTAAATATATTTTAAGGCTGTAAATATGGCGTTTGCTTCTGCTGTAAAATATAGAGCTGTTATCCAGTATGCTAGAAGATACTGTTCTGGATCCAACAACAGTGGCACAAGCAACTGCGCCACCATCTTTGGATTCATCTGTAAATAGAGATTTGTATGTATTATATTTACTTTTTAATTGACAAAATCTTGTTTATATTCAATAGTTTCTGCTTTTTAAAATGTGGTTGGTGTTAGGTCGATTTGTGGCCTAACCAATTGCCAAGGCGGAGAAGAAAGAAGACGGGAAGGAGATATATTTTCAAGCTCAATGCCGACAGCAGAAATGAATGGTTTTATTCTAAGCCCAAGAGGCGGAACAAGAGAAGATTTCATGTTGCATAAATCCTCATAGAGGGGATTGAAGACACAGTTATATGCAGGCTTAGATTCGTTAGAGTATAGTTTTGTAAATATTGTAAAGACAATTTTATACGGCGTTGTGTCAGAGATGGCCCATCGGCCTCGACGTAGAGACTGTCAACAGAAGTTCTAAATGATCCAAGACAAAGTCTTAGACCTTGGTGGTGGACGGAATAAAGAATTTTAAGGTTGCTTTTACAGGCTCCACCAAATACGATGGAGCCGTAAACACGTTTTGCACGCACCAATGATCGATATAGGTGTAGGAGGGTAGCTTGATCCCCTCCCCACTTAGAATTGGAAACGATTTTCAACAAATCAAGCGGCTTCAGGCATTTAGTTTTTAGATATTTGATATGCGGAAGAAAAGTTAAATGAAAGTCGAAAACTAGGCACAAGAACCTGGCCTTTACAACTTTGATGGGAGTGTCATTTAAAAATAGTTCTGGGTCCTAATGAGACATATTTTCTACAGAAGTGTATACAATTAGTATTTGACTTGGAAAATTTAAAGCCGTTTTCAAGACACCATTTATTAATTTTATTTAACCACAACTGCAGTTGCCGTTCAATAGTATGCATATTTTGACCTCACAAGAAATATTAAAATCATTCACAAAAGTGATCCATCGATTGAATCATTTAAAACCTTGTATAAACTGTTGATCTTGATACTAAACAATGTGACAGACAAAATACTGCCTTGTGGAACACCCTGATCCTGATTATAATGGTCAGACAGGGTTGAACCTACTCGGACTTGAAGTTGTCTGTCTGTTAAAAACTGTGATATAAAAAGAGGTCAACGACCCCTCAAACCAAAATCATGTAAATCTTTTAA